TCAGAGACGGCGACTGGTCGTTGTCTGCGAGAGTCCTGTGGCGTTATGTATCACGATAACTGTGTCATTATCAGTGAGTGTGACACAGAGGGGAAACAGCGTCATTTGTGTTATCGGAGGCTGGGTGAAGCTATCCTTAGGTGTACATGATATGTATCCGTGGGTGCGTGTTCTAATGTTGTTTCGGGTGTGACATAGCGAGTGCTCTGGAGAATGTTTAAGGGGAATAGGCTACGTTACAATGGTTGTTGCGAACAGTGTGAGACGAGTAGAAATGGTTATAACTTGAAGGGATTAAGTTAATATGTTCGGTATTTAATCTTTTGCAGTATTTGATTTAGGGAGGGAGTGCAATCTGACTGTATAAATTGAATAGTTTAAGTTGTTATTGTTGTCGGGAAGGGATAGATGGTTTCACTTGAAAGTTTGAGTGTTTTTATTGGTATTTTATCTTTAATTAAATAGAATGAGATCTGAATAATGATTGAAGTTGAGATAAATGTTGTGAGAACGATGGGGGGGAATGAATATCACTCGAGATTGATTAACGTTTTCGATATTTAATGTCTAGTTAAGGGAAATGAATTTAGTAAGTTTGAAACACCAGAATAATTCATTTTGCTTTCCGTGAAATATCACATAGAAACTTAATGGAAATTGTATCCCAGCAAACAATTGAGTAAGAACTGAAAATAAGTAGGTTAGTTCAAAAGTTTCTTCAATCAATCTTTAATTTAAGCGTATAATTTAATCAGATTAATTAGAAGGTAAAAGTAACTCATTTAGTCCTTTGTCTTTTCGAAATGTCCCAAGTAATTCTTTCTTTTCTTAGGAAAATAACATATTGTGCATAAATTAATTATACTGAAACATCAAGATATCTTGAAATTATATTTTTTCAAGCTTGTCTTCGATACGATAACGTAAAAAAGAAAAAAAAAAATACAAAGGTATTTGCATATACAATACGCCAAGATATTTACTTTTCTCTTGTTTAATTAAAGAAATTCATTATGTTTATAAAAAAAATGCGAAAAGTATATTTTTATAGATTTCATTGATTATTCGGAATGATATATTTATGATTCAAACCACATCAGTTCTGAGAGATGAATTATTCATTTAATTTTCCATTAAAACTACTGCTGTAGATACTGTAGGATAATTTTATATATATTCGGCAATCATGATAATGCCGATTCTCAATATGAAACTGACAGCGGTACAATACACATTAAAAGTCTATACATTATTAATCATTTATTTCCTTTAACGGCCACTCTTTAGTTTGAAAAAAAGAAAAGTTATAACCCATTGTGTGTGTGTGTGTGTGTGTGCACGTGTGTGTGTACGTCTTTACATGAATTTTCTTTGAATGCGAGTATATACATCTTGATATATCCTGATTAAAAAAAAACAAAATGTTACGGTCCATTTTATTGTTTTTGTTTTATTTATTATTATTGTTATTATTTATGTATTTATAATTATTATTATCATTTTTTTTTGTGGGGGGGGGATAAACATAACATTCTGTTTTAAGTTCTTTTAAATGCGGAATATTTGGGTATTGACGAAATCTACCTGTGTTCTCATATTCTTTCTCAGAGCGAAATCTACTTACAACTTACAGTTCTTTGAAATCTTTAATCTGAAAGAATGTTGTTCTTCAAAACACTTGTTTGTTCATTCTGAACGTGAAAGCTATGTCATTTCTTAACAAAACTATGTTCTACGTTCTCAACACTTCATTTTCTAATCTTCACATTTTTTCTGATTCTGTCCTTCGAAACGTGTGAATGCTGAACGTTTAATCTGTATTTTTATTTAACAATATTCGAAAATCTCAACACGTTCATCTCTTCATCCCTACACTTTCTTCCAAATCATTCTCTTCTTCAATAACATATTCTTGCGAATTCTGAACGTCGTGTAAGCTGTATTCTTGTTTAACATAATAATGTTTCAGATTTTTATCACGTTCCTTTCTTCATTTCTACACTTTTATATTTAATAATGTTTCATGTTTTTATCACGTTCCTCTCTTCATTCCTACACTTTCTTCCGAATCATCCTGTTCTTCGATAACATATTCTTGCGAATTCTGAACGTCGTGTAAGCTGTATTCTTGTTTAACATAATAATGTTTCAGATTTTTATCACGTTCCTCTCTTCATTCCTACACTTTCTTCCAAATCATTCTCTTCTTCAATAACATATTCTTGCGAATTCTGAACGTCGTGTAAGCTGTATTCTTGTTTAACATAATAATGTTTCAGATTTTTATCACGTTCCTCTCTTCATTCCTACACTTTCTTCCAAATCATTCTCTTCTTCAATAACATATTCTTGCGAATTCTGAACGTCGTGTAAGCTGTATTCTTGTTTAACATAATAATGTTTCAGATTTTTATCACGTTCCTCTCTTCATTCCTACACTTTCTTCCAAATCATTCTCTTCTTCAATAACATATTCTTGCGAATTCTGAACGTCGTGTAA